CAGTTCACCCAGCACCATTTGTTAAATAGGGAATCTTTTCCCCACTGAATGTTTTTAATTGGCTTGTCAAAGATCAAATAATGGTAAGTAGCTGGGTTCATCTCTTGGTTCTCTATTCTGTTCCATACATCTACCTCTCTGTTTTTGTGCCAGTACCATGCTGTTTTGACCACTATTGATTCATAGTATAGTCTGAGGTCTGGTAGTATAATTCCTCCTGCTTTGTTTTTGTTTCTGAATAATGTCTTAGCTAGTCGAGGTTTTTTCTGATTCCATATAAAACAAAGTATTATTTTTTTGAGATCTTTAAAGTAAGACAGTGGAGCTTTAATAGGGATTGCATTAAATCTGTAGATTTGAGTAGTATGGGTAGATTTGGGATTGCGTTAAATCTGTAGATTGCTTTGGGTAGTATGGACATTTTAAGAATGTTGATTCTGTCCAGCCATGAGCATGGTATGTTTTTCCATTTGTTAACATCTTTAGCTAATTCTTTTCTTAGAGTTTCATAGTTCTCTTTACTATTTAAGAAAATTTGCCACAAGTAGAACATCAGCAAATTCATAAGAAATCAAAAAATGTAAAAACAAAACAATGAAAATTACTATCAGTTTTTATCCTGCAAATCCTTCTTCTGTCCTCAGAGACAACAATTAACATTAATCTGATTATCTTTTTAACGTATCTGCAAACTTCCATAAATCACACAAAATCATAGCTTTTTCTCACTTTGTTATATAAATGAGACTATTCTATGTGTATTTTTACATCTTTATTTTTATCCTTTAATGATACATTTTGAAGATCATTTCCATGCAGAACATACCAACCCAACTCATTTTTTTAACTGTCCCATAATCTTCTGTACTAAAAATACCCATTAAAAGTTTACATAATTATTTCCCATTAGTGGGCACGTAGGTGTTTCTCATTTTCTTATATTACAGGCTGTACTGTTTTTAATGCTCTTGAACCCATGTTTCTTTGTGCATGTACTAGCATTTGGGACTAAATTAGCTTCCAAAAATAAAATTGCTCTATTGACACATATGCCCAATTAAAATTTTTATCTTCACCGTAAAATTGACTTCCTAGAAGAG